AATAACTAATCAATGGGAAACACATGAGGATAAAGAGATACTGGGGACCAGGGAAATTACATCAAACACAAATAAACCCTAAACATAGCAAGAGAAAACAGTAAAAAGACAGAAAATCCCCCAAACATAATTGACATATTGACAAGTGAGCTTTGAAACTGGTTTTCGTGAGTGGAAAAAAAGCAACAGAACGATTCAAAGAGAAAGAAAACAGCTAAAGTCACAGAAAAGTAATACCTACTCTGCTCGCTTGCGCTCAATGCAAAGTTAAAAAAGCGGAACTAGCTTTAGCCTCCAGCTAGCAGTGCCGGGAGGAACTGTCCTAATCATAAGGCGAAGGGCCGACTGTACAAATTAACTCGAGTGCGTCCTGTCCTGCCCTGACACGCAGGTAAAATCCAGTTTTGGGTCTCAGAGGGGAAATAACCTGACTGTCTGAAGTTGGTAAGGAAATAAACCTGATAATTACAGAGAAAGATACAGTTGATAAAAATTGAAAGAGGGAAGGAGACAGATAAAGATAGAAATGAAGGATTAATAAATACTGTACACAGAGGATGGATAGAGAACATTGACAGACATATTCAAGATGTTCAAGTATTTCTTTAATAACTACTAAGTATATTTTGTTTGTAGTAATGATCTTTATATTTATTAAAGGTGCATCGGTAGCAATTTTCTGGCCGATCTTTAAAAATCTAACTTGCTGAAATTTTTTTGTGCGTGTGCAAAATATAGCAAAAAAAAGTTGACAATCATGGAGTGACTGTTGTAAATCTTGCATGGAGAGATGACCTGGTGGTTGGGACTGTCCATCAGCCCTCTCTCATGGTGGACAGTGGCTGATTTTTGTGACCTTATAGGTAGATAAGGTTTGTGGATTGGATCGGCTCCACAAGCAAGTCACGGCCAAACACCGACCACCCAAAGGGAAGGAAATCAGGAATATATACTTAATCATCTGTATAACGATGATTAAGTAGGGCCCGTACCTTGGCATAAGCCCAGGGGCCCACACCCTCCTAAGTCTGGCCCTGGCTATGGTACCAAAATAATCTAACTATGAAGATTGTTCTTTCAACTTTTACAAAGTAAACTTGCCAGCTCCTTAAATTCTTAAATTTAAATGTTAAACAATTTATAATCTTTTAATTTATCTATGCTGAAACCATTAAATCAAATTTAAGTGCATTGGTATTCTCTTAGTTCATTTATGCCTAAACGTGATCAGAATTACATTGTGGTTTTAGATCCACTAGCCAATGACTTAATTTGGATTTAACTGATAAAGTGCAAATAACTGATATTTATTTTAATTGTATTGTTTTGACTTGTTTTTAAGATTCTATAATTGTGAGTTTAAGTATTGTCTGCAATGTCTTCCAGTAACATAATTACCCAGTAATATTTTACGTTTCCTGTCAACTTAACATCTTTTAATACAAAACTCCGGTGGACCGCCTCAGTGCCCCGACCACCGGGCTTAAGTTTTCTTGGGGAAACCCCGTCATTCTCACTACTATGTATGCAACTCACTACAAAAATTTTACTTTTGACACAGTTAAACAGTGCATTGTAGCGCTCCTGTCATAACTGAGTAATTTCTTTTATGTCACCAACATCAATAGTAGTTGATAGTGACATTTTGCAGTTATTTTCTTGATTTCTTTCCAAAAGCATTATTTCTCAACTTTCTTGCAAGAGAGTAAGACCTCATAGTATTTCCATTTCTTTTTATGAATCTTATATTTAAAATGAGCATTTGCTTGAACTGTTACCATAGTAGCCCTTCTGGCCTCTGCATCAAGCTCTCCTACATAGTCATTCCTACCTGAGTTGGTGCTATGTGAGCTGGTTTTATACAGTGGCTTGCTTGAGGTAAGAAGGGACTTCACAACATTCTCATGTGAGTAATTTCTCAAGAGTATATCCCACAAGAAATACATAATGTAATTATGACACTGCAAGATAAGGTGTGTGGGATAACATTTCTACACCATGTTGTGGGTCCTCCAGCAATCTCATGCTACCAAAGGGAGCTAGTGTTGCCGTTACCACCACACCATACTCTAAGCAACACAGATGTTGCCAAACTGGACACAGCCCTACAGACGCTGGAAGAAACGTCAAAGACAAGCAGCGCTAATGGAACTATTACTACTGGAAATGCTAATGAAGTTAGAACACCGGTACTGAATGTGAAACCACTACCAACACCGAACAAAGTTCAGACTCTAAACCGCTGTTGCCGAACCGGACACAGAGCTTATAGAAGCACTTACCGGATCACACAGTCCGACCAGAGGTACATGTCATTCATTGTTTCATTTACGAAGCTGAAGGAAGCAGCAAACAAAAGCTCCTATGGCTAACTCTGCCTCTTCCTCTGCTTGGCCCTTCTCATCTTCATCACCTCTTGTTATTTCTACGTTCCGATTGTTTTCAATGCACTCTGGTTCAAATTAAAAAGGCTTAATAACGTTACTCATCACTGTTTTGGCTGGAGGAGCCAGGCAGTTGGACCATTAGTCATTTACCCAGAATGCCTTGCAGCTTGAACAACATGGCGGCATTCCTGTGAAAATATTTTATTAAAATTTCTAAAAATTAAATAACCTACAGTATTATTACTGTGTTGTTTTTACATCTAAGATAAATATTTCCCAAATAAGGTCTATTTTTATAACTAATCATGGTTCCCTTTAAGCCTCCCTGGTAAGGTCTATTCAGGGGTCCTGGAGAGGAGGGTCCATTGGATAGTTGAATCTCTGATTCGGGAAGAGCAGTGTGGTTTTCGTCCTGGTCGTGGAACACTGGACCAGCTCTACACCATCAGCAGAGTCCTGGAGGATGCGTGGGAGTTTGCCCATCTAGTCTACATGTGTTTTATGGACTTGGAGAAGGTGTTTGTGTCCCTCGGTGAGTCCTGTGGGGTTACTCCAGGAGTATGGGGTATTGGCCCTTTGAGACAGGCTGTTAGGTCCCTGTATGATCAGTGTCAGAAACTGGTCCGCATTGTCACCAACATGCCTCCAGTCTGGCTCGTTTCCGGTGAGAGATTTTCACCAGAAATCTCTCACCGGTGATTCTGTTCATTACTTTGATGGACAACATTTCTAGGACCAGCCGAGGTGTTGAGGGGATCCATTTTGGTGGTCTTTGGATCATGTTTCTGCTTTTTGCAGATTATGTTGTCCTACTGGCTTCATCAGACTGTGACCTTCACTCGAGTGGTGTGCAGCCGAATGTAAAGCGGCCGGGATGAGGTTCATTGTCTCCACATCAGAGGCCATGATCTTGGGCCGGAAAAGGGTAGAGTGCTTTCTTCAGGTTGGGGAGGATGTCCTGCCCAAGTGGAGGAGCTTGAGTGACTCAGGATCTTGATCACGAATGAGGGAAAAAATGGAGCGGGAGATTGATAGATGGATTGACGCAGCATCTGCACTGAAGTGGGTGCTGTCATGATGAAGAGAGAGCAGAGTTAAAAAGCAAAGCTCTCGATTTACCGGTCGATCTTCATTTCTACCCTCATCTATGGTCATGAGCTTTGGGTCTTGGCTCAAAGAACGAGATCACAGATACAAGTAGGGTCTGTGGGCTCTCCTTGAGAGATAGGGCAAGAAGCTCCGTCATCCGGGAGGGACACGGAGTAGAGCCGCTGTACTTTCACGTCGTGAGAAGCCAGTTGAGGTGGCTTGGGCATCATGAAGGGATGGGGTGTTCTGGGCACGTCCCACCGTGAGGAGACCCAGGAGAAGATCCAGGTGTAAGGAGGCCTCCTTTTCTGGCTTGCAGTCGGTAGGACTGGGCTGACAGGGTTTTTTTTAAAATACGTTTTATGCATTAAAAATACAGTTATGATGAAAAACCATTTTTTGTTCAAACATATATTCTGTGATTCATTTCAATTGCATTATAACTGAAGATTTGTATTCATAAATTTTCAAGTCACTAATCTATATCAGAGCCAAACATACACTTTCTTTCATGTTCTATATTCAAATTAACACTACTGAGCATCTGATTTTCAACAAAAAATGTTTTATATAGAATTGGATATAAAATTCAGCAAATGAGAGGTTAGTGGTCCTTTACTACTAGCATACCAAACAATAATCCAAGCCATTACAACATTCATATTTAAACCACATGTATACTGTTGTCCATAAGAAAAACAATAACTTTTTTTATTTTTTGAAGATCCCTTTTGTAGGAGAAGCATGTACTCCAGCCAGGTGTGGAGTCTTTGGTTATTTCACAAGCAATTTTGACCTGTAAAATGATTTTCGCAACTATGAAGGTCCAGAGATTTTCAGAAGTCATTTTTAAAGTCACTGTCAAGGGTCAAACCTTTGTGATAAGTTTAAGTCAAGTCTTACCCTTTTCATTCCAAGTCAAGTATCCACTTCAATGTGACTCAAGCCTAAATCAACTCTTGTTCTGATCTACTCTTTGGTCTTAATCTATAGGATAAGTCTCTGACTCAGGATCTTGCGGTTGATCTCAGCCAAGGCCACAGAAAAGACAAATGCCTTTTCATCAGAAAGGCTGGCATATACGTCCACTTCCTTTTCTTGTTTTTCTGTGAATACAAAAACACAAGATATTAAAATAATTTTAATATATAAGATTCTAAGATTTTAATCAACTCATGACAGCTATTTAATTTAATTTTAAGGACAAATGCAGACTAGAAACAAGAGAAAAAGGAAATTTTCTTAGATGAGCAGTCAAATTCTAGGTCACTGGGGCCACAGCAGAAAAAGCAGTATTTTCACTTGATATACAACTTTATATATATATATATATATATATATACACACACACATTTTTATACATTTATATGTCAGCTTTAGACTGTGCAATACACATCCAAATAAATTTATAAATAGCATACTCATGACAGGTACCGTGCTGCGAGGTGGCCCAGGTTCCTCCTCCCCTTGGTTCATAATAATAAAGAAAACAGTTGTCAGACAAACTGCTAGTTTGCGACACCGTGTGTCCATTAAAAAAAAAAAAAAGTACTACTGGAGTGTTTACAGTAGCAGCACAGAACCAACACTGTTTATAGTGGAGATGGTGTGCTGCTGACCTCGACTCAGGACGTTGTGGGATGGTGGGCAGAATATTTCAAAGACCACCTCAATCCCACCAACATGCCTCCCATTGAGGAAGTGGAGACTGGGGACTCTGGGTTGGGCTCTCCAATCTCTGGGGACGAGGTTGCCGAAGTGGTTAAAAAGCTCCTCGGTGGCAGGGCCCCGGGGGTGGATGAGATTCGGTTGGAGTTCCTTAAGGCTCTGGATGTTGTAGGGTTGTGTTGGGTGACACGACTCTGCAATATTGCATGGACATCGGGCCAAGTCACCCTGTTAAGCCTCCCTGGCAAGGTCTATTCAGGGGTTCTGGAGAGGAGGGTCCATCAGATAGTCAAACCTCGGATTCAAGAAGAGCAGTGTGATTTTCTTTCTTTGGTTGTGGAACACTAGACTAGCTCTGCTCCCTCAGCAGGGTCCTGGAGGGTGTGTGGGAGTTCGCTACATGCGTTTTGTGAACTTGGAGAAGATGTTCAACCGTGAAGAAAAATGGATGAATAGAGGGTTTAAAGGTACATTTGAAGCCAGAGAATTGTAGAATGGACAGGCCAACAACATTTTATCAATTATTTTTTTGTTCAGAAATAACAAAAATCTCAGCTCAGAGTGCAGTAATTCCAGAGATACTGCATATGATTCAGTCAGGTGCACCTAGCATTAATATCAGTCCTGGGTAATACGATTATGTCCAGATGACACTAAATAGAGTCATAAATACTCTGAATATTTTAAGGCAAACTTGACTCATACTACCTCTAGAGTGTGTCCATTGTTTATTCACTTCCACACATCAGGAACAGGTTTTGTGCAGCAAAAACTTGTGAAGAAGCACATAGTTGGATGTCTTAAGGTTTAATTCTGTGGAATTTATGTTTTTGCATCCACCTGACTAATATGTAGTTGCGACCT